AACAGGTGATCAGCTGGAGTCTTTGCAAACCAAAGAATCGTTACAGAAAACCTGTTTAAACAAAGAGTTTCATGAAAGGATGACAATGACATCTAGGTATTTTAAAACACTACTTCCTCCCCCTCTGTCTTTCCCAAGTATTGATTACAGTGCTCAACTGTATGGGAGAAATAAATGCACTGAACGTAATGACCAAGAATCTCTCCCTGTTGCAGTTTAACCTCCTTTACCCAGATTCAGTAGTATTACTGTTACACAGGTGACAGCAACCTCCCATAAAATGAATTTTTTTATTCAGTGAGTAGGCATAGACTGAGTAGAACAGATAGTAGTGACATTGTGGTGTTACTGGAAGATATCACAACACAACAATGTTTGAAAAAGGCAAAAGGAAATTTTTTCTAAGGGATAAGAAAGCAGAATGGAATAAATCATGGCAGTACTTCCAGCAGACTAGGACAGACAAGTTATGAGAACACAGCTAAACCACATAAAGACACATGTTCATATACTAAAATATATCATACGGAACAGTTAAATTCCCAACGTGTGCTAACTTATAAAATGGGTCTCTAGAGTGCCGAGTCTGACAAAGACAGAACATTACATGTATTTATTTTCCTGAATACAGCTGATTAATCAAGGCATGGGAAAACAGACATGAAGGCAGTAATTTTTAAGGTATACAGATGCTATTAACACCTTCTGCAACATTCAAAGGCATTCTAATTGTAGCTATCAATGAAGGTTCTTACCTACACTGATATTTTAATATATTACATATCCTGTTTAAAATTTTATTATGATTTACACATGTGAAGACAAACCAACATTATTCTGATCACTGATCTCGCTATAATTTTCTACCATTCATTTTAGTCCTTACCACCACAAACATGTATGCTTCCACAAGAAACATCCCCTTACAGTCCATACTGAAAGCACAACAGAGTGTAACTCTAGAGGTTTTAAATGTGATGTAGATTAACTTCACTTACTTATTGCAATTTTACATCTTAACACAATATCTAATTCTACATTGGGATCTTAAAAATTCTACCAATACCTGACCACATACAGAGAAAAGGAAAATATATTATTTAATATGTATGCAATAAGAAAAAAAGGAAAAAGCGTGGGTCTTCATCTTTCATCTCCTTTAACCAAGAATCCATTTAACAAGCAAAAAACTTTTCTGAAATGAAGAAATAAATTGAGCTGATAGTTTTTCTTAGAACTTATTATTCTAATTTATTTTCTGCCCATCACAAATTTATTTTCTGTTAAAAGCACATACCACAGTCTGAAGGCATTGGTGCTGCAGCAACAGAAAAAGTAACAGATGTTTCAGAGTTTGGGAATAAGAACCGTTCTCTTTCAATGAGGGAATCTCCTTCTAAGGAAGGTTCTGGGAGATCCTCTATGGTCATCTTCTAGAAAGACACTTTAGGAGGGAAAAAAATTAATAAATAACCTCATTAGCAATACTTTAGATTGGTTCTATCGTAGTAAGATATAATGCATAATCAGACTAAAATCTTTCCTTTTTCCAAACACAAACTATTCCTACCATTACATTCTTACAAACTAATAAAGTTAATTAGTAAATCTAGTAGAGTATGGTGTCAAGGTCAGCCAACTTTTGGTTTTGACTTCCATCCCTAACTTTGCACATTATTAATGGAAAACATCACATTTCTCCCCAGTCTTCCAACTGAGGAGTAAAGAAAATAACGCTACAATATAATCAGCAAACGCACAGTGATGATAAATGGATGAGTGTATTTCACAGCTTTATGAAAACATGGACATTAAGTACCTGTCCTCACACTCTGCATGCATATTCCCTTCCTTCACCATGAACAAGAACATGCTACCATCTACTGTTTTCTCCTCTTTTAAAATTCTCAGCTCTTTAATCTTCCCACACACAGCTGGAGACAATTCATCACCACGTGATTCACTCCTGGACTCATGATTCCATATCAGCTCCTTTCCCAGCTTCTCCCCTTGATGTTTTAAAATAGCACACTTACCACAGTGTTGTAACCTCCACCCTGGTGTTGTTTCCAGTCAACTTTTCAGGCCTTACAGCAATCTAGGAGAGAGAATAAATACTAAAGGGCCATACAAAGTTATAGCGACACAATGTAACAACCAGCCCGAGTTACATTCTAGTTATGGTTCTCAGGCTAAGATCAGAGGAGAGCTGGCCACCATTTGTAAGACATTTTATCAGGCAAATTCATTAAGAAATAACAAAACATTATTCTTAATAAAACCAGGCATTACTACACTATTGGAGACTACATCTCACAGCCGAAAAACTGCAATTCTGCATCTTGAATTATCATTATTAAACACTCAGGGTAAAAGCAATGCTTCTACTAAACAAACTACATTTTTATTCTGGAGATTGCTATACAGTGCTCTTTTTTCAGTTAATTTGCTTGACAGAAAGAACTCGTGGAGCTTCAAGGAATGTTTGTTTTTACTACATTTAATCTACACACAAGTAAGTAGGAAACATTAGAAAGAAAAGAAGTAGTCTCTCTTTGAGACTTATTTTGGGTTTTGCATCTAACACACAACAAGCTATATGAACACATTTACTCTAATATTTCCCCAGATTAATATGTCACCATTCGGGAGCCTCACATAATCTACATGCTAATACAAAAGGCATTTTAGCAGTGGTTTACAGATGCTGATCTTGAAGTAAATAACTCAAAACCTCCTTTTTTTGCACACTCTACACAGATCACCCTTTCCTCAAGTTGAAAACAGAGATCCACATTAAAACTGTTAATTTTTCTCCAACTAGTTTATTTCCTTAGTCTTATGCAGCTGTACAAATCACATGCTGGCACAAAGGGAAGATCAAGGAGGAGGCCACTGGGAAGGACAGGACTATTTTTTCCCACAGCATTATCAAATTACAATGGCTTATGTGTTCTTTCATCTAACAAGGCCCAAAATATCACTAATTATTTCAATTATTATTTTCTTACAGTAAGGAAAAGTTTAGAGTTTATATTTCAAAGGCTTTATAGCCATCATAAACATGACAGCAACAGCTTTCTTGTATGAGGGACTAGAAAGTCTTTTAAGCTGCAAGTCACTAATTAAATTTCTTTTGAAGGGCAACAATGAAATTAATCTGCTACCATCTGATATTTGTTCAGAGGCTATGGAAAAACAAAACAAAGCTTTGTAAAACACATGAATCCACAAGAGTTTTTCACAGGTAGCACATCAGACGCTCTCACAAAATGCACAAAGGAACAAGTAAGATGCGTGAGTATAGAAGAGGTATTAGTTGAACCTGTTAAGCTGGAAAAGACACAAAAGAAATTATAAGCCTTTTGCACAGTGCTACCAGCACAACACGGAGGAAACAAAAGAAACATAATGAAAAGTAGCCAGATCCAGTTGAGCAGATGGTGACAGGAAGAGGTGAGGTCTGTCAAGTATGATGACATAAGTTGCTGGAACTAGAAATCAACAAACATTTGAAAATTAATACAGAAAAGACTGTTCACTGCACACAGGAAAGCAGACCAAACAGAACAGAACCTGTTCAAGTATCCAGGGAATCTTTTACTCTCAGGGGCCATAGGCAAGAACACAATCTGTCACACAAGTGAAAGGAATTGAGCACTCAAACTCCCAAAGCAAAGCAGGCAGGGAAACAACCTGTGTTGCCAGGTAGGTGACACGGAGACCCAAGTGCTACAATGAATATGCTGACCCAACTCCACACAGAACAGCTTCATGTTTCCACAGTAGTGCCAACAACCCCCACCCAAATGTGCACATCCTCACACCCCATGGGATTTGAATTTGGCTCCAGAAATGCATTATCATGTCATGACACAATACTGAACCAACAATGTCAAGGCAACATGTTCTGCATCCATGACCGCTCCAGAGGCTGCTACCTCAGGTGTAAGAATATATTAACACCACACATGCACTCCTGGAAAAGCAAAGGGAAAGCGAAGGGTTGAAAACTATTTCAAAGAAATGGAAAAGGCAAACAGACACTGTCCTCATAATGACTTCTGCTGTAAGCAAAAACACAACTGCATGAGGTATTAACAAAATCCAAGACATATAGATTCAGGTGAGAAGTCCTGGTGAAGTGGAATGGAAGGTATTCCAAAAAGAGCAACGATTTTCCTATATTAGTAAGGAGAGTTTAGAGAGACAGAAACTATTAGAAAGATCCAATAAAAGACAGAATTATTCTGTTCACAGAATTGCCAAACTACCATGAAGCACAGTTTAGCATAGCAAAGTATCATACTTACTATCTGCCAGCCATACGTTCTTCCAACTGAATTATATCTGAAAATGAAAAAATAGAAATATCATTTAAAAAAACTTGAAGGAACCATCAGATGCACATGCACTTTTGTAGACAAAATTGAAGAACAACTGCAAGTTTCCTGATACCCACACATTACACAGGAATGCATTATAGCAAATATATAGAAAAAAAAAAGTTGCATAATACAGGGTCCAACTTTTTCATGTACTCCAGAGCTTGTAATCTGAGATTTGTGTTAAAGCACAAAGCCTTCCTGCAAGCGTTTATAAAGACCTGCAAACACTAGAGCACTTGCAGTGATAATCTACGGTCATGCTAGGGCTTTGATAGCTGAACCTGTCACAAATGTGATGCTATTTTTGACAACCACCACATATAATGGACTCCTTACCATGTACTTAGATGTGCTCAAGAAAAAACTTAAGTTCAGAGAACAAGTCTCTTGCACGTACACTACCTGACTGCTTCATAACATTTACAGCACGAGTGGGAGACATATTACATGTGTGGAGGTACACTCAGGACTGGTTTTTCAAGAGGTGTGTGGGGCCCTCTTGCAACACAGCAGTGTTTTCACAGAATCACAGAATTGTTAGGGTTGGAAGGGGGCCCTGGAGATCATCCAGCCCAAGCCCCTGCCAAGGCAGGGTCACCTAGAGCAGGTGACATGGGAACGCATCCAGGTGGGTTCTGAATGTCTCCAGAGAGGGAGACTCCACGACCTCCCTGGGCAGCCTGTCCCAGTGCTCTACCACCCTCCACGTAAAGAACTTCTTCCTCATGCTGAGGTGGAATTTCTTGTGTTTTCGTTTATGGCCATTGCTCCTCCACCTGTCACTGGGGACCACCAAAAAAAAGTCTGGCACCGTCCTCTCCGCACCTGCCTTTGAGGTATTTATATGCATTAATGAGTTCCCCCCTCGGTCTTCTCCAAACTAAGCAGGCCCAGCCGCCGCAGTCTCTCCTCACGAGAGAGATGCTCCAGTCCCCTAACCATCTTTGTGGCCCTCCGCTGCACCAGCGTTTTGACAAGCTGGAAGGTTCAGGGCGCTCAGGTTCTGCAGCTCTCCAGGCCGGCTCTGCTCGCTCGGAGCCCCCCGCGTCACCTCCCCCAGCGGACGGGCACGCACCGCTCACACCATGGGGGGGGTCTCACAACGAATCCCAGGGGGCCGGGGGGGGCTTCCAGTGAAAAATCCCGGGGCCGCAGCATCCCCCGGCCCGTGCTCCGCAGCCGGGCGGGCGGGGCGGGGGGGCCAGGCCGGCCGCGGCCCGCCCGCTGCGGCTGCCCCTGCGCCGCCACCCCGCCCCCACTGCGCGCCGAGGGAGGGCGGGAAGCACCGGGGAAGCACCGGGGAAGCACCGGTGGAGCCCCGCAAGGCGCCGGCCCCGTCCCTTCTCCCAGCCCTACCTGCTCTCGGCCGAGCGCGGCGGGCGCTGCCGGGGCCTCCCGCGCCCGCAGCCCAGGGAGCCGAGCGCGGCCGCGGGCACGCCCACCGCGCGGGGGACACGCCCCTTTTCCACCTCCTCGGCCAATCGGCGGCCAGGACCTCCGGCGTCGCCCCACCCCTTCCCTCTCGGCCACGCCCCCGCGCGGGCGGCGGGGCGGGAGCGGCAGCGCGGGGCAGGTGCGGGACGGGCGCGGGACGGGCGGCGCTGGAGCGGGATGCGCTTCCCTGCCCTGCCCGGGGGAAAAAGGGATGCGGCAGCGAGGAGAGACAACGCGCTTCCCGCCGCGCCGTGTCAGCGCACTCCCCGCCGCGCCAAGGCACGAGGGCCAAAGTGGCACATTTCAGCACACAGCTCAGGAATTTGGACTCCCCAGTTATTCCATTAACCAGTTGGAGGGACGGAAGGAGCAGCTCCCCGAGAAAGCTTTTCAAAGCGTGCTTATCTCGTGCTGTAAAACCTAATAAGGATCTAAATCCAAAGATCGGTAATCTCCGGGAAACCCGTGCAGTGGTAAACCCATCTTCATACGACTTGAGCCCAGGCTGCTTGAGGGGAGTTTGACCTGGATAAAAGCTCAGCCGAGTCCTGTGTATTTTTATGCTCAACGTGGGTCACTATTAAGTAAATATAACTGGTGTTTACAATCTGGTTTTTGTTGTTGTTTTCCCAATGATAAAGGGAGGGGGAGAGGACAAATAATAGTAATGACAAATGGAAATTACCTCAAGTGAACTACTCAAAAGGTCAAGAGTTGCAAGCTCTCTCAGATCCCAGACAGTAGAAGAAGGTGAGCATGAAATCGCATTTGTGAGAGTAAACGTGGCTAGGAAAAAAAGGCTAAAACAATTCTTCCCCTTCTTAGAAATGTTCCATACTTCGGAAAAGGCAAAGAAAAAATTGTATTCCAGGAAAATGGAGGCCTGCTATTTTCACCTCAAAAACACTTAGGTTATACTTCAAACTCTTTTTCTAAAGACAAGGATGTAAACAAGATCAAATGTGAGCTTAGTACTGGCAGTTGATGTTTGCGGTTTTTGAGATGCGTGATGCTCTGGGCAAAGGAAATGTTTTATTGCTGATTATGAATAATGGAATTTAGTGAAGTGCCTGAAATGGAAATTATTAGCAATTCTGGAGAAGGCTAGAATTTAGGACAACTTGAGTGGAGGTAAAGCACAAGCACAGGGGAAACAGTGCTAGGTAGAGCTGAATGCAAAGTACTGAGCTGAGGAAGGTTACTGATGAGATCTTGGAATATTATTCTTGGAACTAATCTTTGTTTCATATTTTCCTTTAATGACTTTGGCAGGAAAAAACAGCAAACTGATGAGACAAAAAAAAAAAAAGGAAAGAATTGCTGTTAAGAAGGAATGAACTGATAAGACTGATATATGGGATCATTGTATGGAAGTGAAAGATGCAGTTGTAGTCGACAGCTACGCAATGACCATCATTACCGATATGATGCAGTGGCACAAAAACCAAACATTTATCTTAGGACATGCAACTGGAGAGTTGTGTCAGGGAAGTGTTTGTGCCAGCAGGCCCTGCCACCTCCTTGAGAAATCGCGTGCGGCTGTGACCACCCTTCTTCAGTGAGTGGCAGCCAATCTAGTGTGTCTAGAGATGATTTGTTAGCACAGTCAAGGAAAAGAACAACCTATTTTAGGAGTTTACCAGAGCATGGCTTGTTTAATGCAGCAGAATGAAAGCTGAGATAGAGGATATAGTTGCCATCTGCCATAAACCACAGAAAATGGGGTGTGAATTTAAAAGTAGTGTTGAATATGAGGACAAAACTCTCTGTGAATATTTTTATGCTAGAAAATTAAAGCAAGGACCTAACAAAGCATCTCAGGCTCTTGACCACCTTTCTGATTGGACCAGTAAAGCAGAACTCCAAACATTTTAGCTCAGAGCGAGTCCTGTGACTTAGTGCTGCAATTGGAAAAGAGACATCATTGCCTGACAAAACTCCTACCTGTCCTGATTTCCACCCCTGGGTCCTGCAATGGAAATTAAAAAAAAATATTTAAATCTCATTCTTTACCTTAGCACAATATCTTTTTCAACCACACTTACATGCCAGGATATGAGTAAAAATAAAAGTCTATTCAGTCTATCCTGTCTGACTCATTTGGTCCTGCCATGGGCAGCGAAGTTGCTGAGCACCTGGAGAACTCAAAACAATGGGCTGTGCCAGCTCTGACCACCTCAGGAGGAAGATGAGGAAACAATGCTTGTGAGCAACAAGCCTATTTTAACTAAAATATTATTTAATTTCTGGTTTCTCCTTTGGGCAGAAATAGGGCATTACTAGCTGGTTCCTTCATCTTCACAAACGTACGTGTCTGAGGAAAGCAATCATTTAAATGGCTTAGAAGCATTTAAATGCTTAGAAGCATTTAAATGCTTAGACATTGCAGCTTCAGGTAGAGCCACTGTAGAGCAAGGATTAGGGAAGCAGAGAGGTTCTGACAGTGAGCACACTTACATACCAGGTTCAGTGCAGCTACAGGACAGCAGGCATGTTCAAAAACAGTGGATACTCCAGGGGATACCCCAGAGCTGGGTGTGAAACAAGGAAGCTGTGTATGCACTTGCTTCTCTCTTACAGAAAAGGTTACTGGTCACTATCAGCCTTTCCAGCCCTTCAAGCCTATCCCATTATTTCCTGGGGGACATGCCATTCTTCCTCCTTCCAGACATCAGCCAGCACCCCACTCTGTAAATTGCCCTTTTCAGCTCCTGCTAGGTGGGTCAAGTCCCATCTCCTCAAGTCACATCCACTGCTTCTGGACCCACAGCCCCAAGCCTAGCACTTCATCAAGACCCACTCTACTTAGTGCCCAGGCGGTGAAAGGAGATCATCTTCTCTCCAGAGTAAATGTCTACTCCACACACACGTGCATCAGGATCACACCAGGATGGGCGTCCCAGAACTCTCCACTGCCAGGCAACAGTTGCCACGCTCCAGGCTGCCTGTGAGTTTGAGGTGGTTTCACGCAGCTATCAGTGCACACACTGTGGTTTGAGACACTCTGTGAAAGGAAGGCAGGAGGAATTCTGTGTCTATCTCATTTTCCAGGGAGACCCTGAGTTGCTTTAGGTGAGGGAACCCATTGGGAACTGAAAAAGGCATAAGGTTCAAGAGCTGCATCTTGTCTGGAGCATCTTGGGATGTTTTTCAGGAATACAAATTACCTGGGCCTCGCTTCGAGATCCCAAATCAACACTACCACTTTCCACTAGAAATGACAGAAGCCACTGCCTGCCTGTTAAATTGCCAGTCCCTCACCTGAAAGGAACTTGCTTTCCTTGAAATTGCTCCACAACCACAAACCTGCTTTCAGTCGTGTGAACCGCTGTAACTGCTGCCTAGGCTAGTGGGACCCTTCCATTTTAATTTTCTAGATTTGCATAAGCCTGGAAATCTAAACTTAAAATTTTAGGTTGTACCACACAATTCTTGGTCCTAACTGTCATCTTTTGGGAGTCACTGTCTTAACCACTGAAAACAGCATTGAATGTGTTAGTTATGGCAGATAGCAAGCTTTTAATACCCATGGGTAGTTTAACAAAGAGAAACTATGATTAAGTGACCAGAACACACATTCCAGAAATAACAGGCAAATGTAAATACATCTCACAAAACTACTGCTGACAGTGGTCATACAATTTTTCTCGACTCCTTTGGGTCACCTGTGTGTACCAACAGCCCTGTGCAGGCAAACCCCCCAAACCGATCCTCTTTAATTTTCTTCTTATTTTTTTTCCTCCATTAATTCCTTTATAAAGCATTTTTGCTGAAGAAGGAAACCATTGGCCTACCTGTTTTCAACAACTTTTTATTTCTATTGTCCTGCCGCTGTTAAAAAAAATGGGTTTGTTTTTGCAAAACAAGTTTTTGAAAACATTGAGGTCACATTTATTGACTCGTGCAATCAGTCTGAAGCAATTTACTTAGAAATCAGAAATTTTTTTAAAAAATTAAAAAAAAAAGGGAAAACAACCTGAGAAGTTTATCATTGACCCAGGACAGAGATGAATTTTTCTTTTACTTGCACCATCACCACTAATAAAGGCTCTGTGTATACTCACTGGTTTTATTTACTTCTTTTCAACTAGATTTCCTCCAAACCATGATATTTCTACTCCTTACCATTGTCAACAGGTTTCCACTAGGGGAAACAAGATGAAGCTTCATAAGTATCTCTGTTAGCGATTACAG